GACACAGGAAGTAGTAGGGAGGGATTTGGAGTGGCACAGCTTTTTTCTGGTTTGGCAGAGCAAAAGCATGGAACTTTTGGAGATGCCAGCAAGGAGAGAAGGTTAGCTAGTTGTGACCCAACCTCTCTGAGCTAGAAGGTCTTCACCCCAGCCTTTGAATTTTGAGTCTTATTTATAAATAGAATGATATTTAGTTAAAGCTACCTCTAGCAGCAATGACAGAGCCAGTGCCTCTGGGAACAGAATTCCCACTTAAGCAGCCAGGTTGCTGCTAGTGAATAGGCCAGTAACTTCGAGTTTTTGCAATTGCTGGCGGAAATAGCAGTAGATTAAGGTGCAGCAACTGTGTTGAAGTTAAAACAACAGAATTATAGATTTTGTTTTCCCAGAAAGTCATCTCTACCTACAGGTGTTAGCACCTACTGATAAATGACTTCAACTTGAGGTTCTAGTTTCCTCTTCTCTCTTGGATTCACATAAGCCCATTCAACTCCTCTCTGGACATCTGTGAATGCTTGGGAACTCAACATGCCCAGAGCAATCTCTCCATGCCCTCTCTTGTACTGTACAGGTAGCTTTGGTTAACAAAACTTACCTCTACCCCATTGCCTCTCCTTCACGGCCACCAGTCTTGTGAACTCCACTTCTACAGAGTCCTCTGGTGTGTTCCTCTTAGCTGTTACCTCAACAGTAGTCATGATTGATTTTCTTCAACTTCAATGACAGCAACTGCCTCTTCCCTGGTCTTTTTGCTTCTCCTCCCTAGTTCATTCTTAATTCTGTTGTTATAATGAGCATTGAAAGGCTTTTGTCATCCTCGAGCACCTTGAGCTACAACTTCCTCTTGTTTAGCAGCCCAAGATTTTGCCATCTGCTTGCTTTGGCAACATTGCACCAATTCCTACAGGAAGCACACCTGCTTCTGTGAGTTGACCTTCCTTGCAGCTGTCTCCATTTAACTCTTGAACTTGAACTCTCCCCATTTAATTGGCTAACCATCCTTTCATGTCCCTATACTTTTATACAAACTGTACCCTACATTTGGAAATCTCTGCCCCATCTCCCAACTTAACAAGTTCCTAGTCATCTTACAAAGCCTTCTCAGATTTCCCTAAGAGCTACTTTTTAATTCTCTACTACTACTGTATAAGGTATATCCATGTTAAAGTATAAATACCAATGTATTATTTCTGTCCATTCAGGTATTTATTTCTGTGTATATCTTATCCGTATTTCCAACTCATACTTCATGACAAAAGAAAGCAACCAAAATTATTCCTTAAATGAAAGAATACCTTGTTTGAATGCTTTCCTATAAAGATTTATTACAGTTACCTCTTCCAGCATGAATGGTGTGACTTTGAAGATGGTACAAGTTTATACTTGGGAATAGCTTGGGGTAAAAGGATGAGGTCCAGAAGGCCTCAGGATTGCTGAAGGAAGACCCCAGAGCAAAGATGAGCACACGTCAGAAAACATGCCCCAGCCCTGCTTTCCTACTGCTATGTATCAGCCCCGAAGCAGCCAGTATTAGTGTTATCCATTTAGCAAATGTGCATCAGGTGGAGGCTACTCACAATAGACAAGTGGGAATTGTTAAGAATACTCACAGTGAACAGTCTTCAGAATATGTAGGGAAAGGGTTGTGTCTGCTTGGCTGTGCAAGGGAATGAGACCTGGAAACACAGTATTCTGGCTCATTGTTCAGTGGGCAGTGGCATTGTCTTTATCTATTGCCTTTGTAAAAGAGACTGTCAGGTTAGAGAAAAGATGTTGCTTTTAATCATATGTTCGCCAAAATGTGCAAAATATTCACAAGTGAATGATATAGCTAGTGCAACAAAAATGGAAAAAAATCAAATACATACAAGTTTAGAATAAATTGCTCAATATCCATATGTTTCTATAGTTTCTGTAGTTTTCTTGCTCTTTCTTTGTAGTTGTATTTCATCTGATGACATAGGAAATTATTTTGAATTTTTGTATTTGTGAAGACTTGTTTTATGTCCTAAATAAAATCTATTTTGGAAAAAGGTTCTGTGGGCTGCTGAGAAGACTATGTTCTGAAGCTGTTGAATGGGACAGTTTGCATGTGAATTGATCCATGGTGCAATTTAACATTGTGGTTTCTATTTTTAATTTTCTTGTCTGGATGGTCTATCTATTGGTGAAAGTACAGTGTTGAAGTCACCCACTGTTATTGTGTTGGACCTATCTGCCTTTAATCTGATAGTGTTCATGTTATTACATTGAGTGAATTAAAGTACCATGAACATATATTTACAATCATTTTACCTTCTGGATTTTATATCTAGATTGTCCTCATTATTAATATATAATGACTTTCCTTATCCCTCTAATTTTGTCTAAAATCTTTGCTGTCATGCTTGTCTTTTAGAAAACACACAATTGTATATTTTTCTGTAATCCAATCATTCTCTCTCTCTCTTTTAACCTAGGAGTTAACAATGCTAATGCATAAGGTTCCATTTGATAGATATTTACTTATTTATCCATATTAGATGTCTCCTGGCTTTCTGAGTTTTTGTAACCATGTCTGATTCTTTTCTATGTCTCAACTCTTGATCTGTTCTTTTAGAAAGAGTTGTTCTTTCCTGAAACCTTTTGTTTGTATGGCTCTTTCTTTTCTTGTAGTGCTGGCTTGGTGACTATGAATTGTTTTGATCTGTGTTTATTTTGGAAGGTCTTCATATTTCTTTTGACTTTTACTGTTTAACCTTGGAAGATAGTGTAGTCTTTGCAGGCAGTTCTGCTGCTTCAGGGCTTGAACTATATACTTTCCTGCCCTCTCCAACTTTGCTATTGCTGCTATTATTTATTTTGTTGTCTGGCTTTGTAAGAATCTGGGCACTTCTCTCTCACACATTCAATATTCTTTCTTTGTTCTAGTCCTGGTATTTTAAGTATGATATGATGTGGATAGCTTCATTTCTGGCCATGACTATTTGAGTTCTAACAGTTCATATGTTCAAATGTCATTTCTATTCCCAGATTTAGGAAATTGCCTTCTATAATTTTGTTGACTAAGTTTTTGTGCTTTTAGCCAACTGTTTGATTCTCCCAACTCTAATACAGATTCATGGGTGCAATTTCTTAATAATTTCCCATGGGTTTTGAATGTTGCACTCATGAATTTTTATTGTTACCTAAATGTAGTAAATCTTCAACCTTGCCTTTGACCCCCAGTATCTTTTCTTTCTCCCAGGCCAGTCTATTGGTGATGTTTTATACTGAACGTTTTATTTGATTCGTTGAACTTTCATTTCTGTGATGTCTACTTCGTTGTTTTGTTGCTTTTTCAAACTCTCTATATCTCTGATAAATGTCTCACCCAATCTGTTGATATCCAACTCCAGGTTATGAATTGCCCCTTTTCAATTTTCTGTTTATTTGAATCTGAAGTGAAGTTTTTCATTTTTAAGTTTATTTATTTATTTTCCAACCTGAGCACAGTTTCCCCTCCCTCCTCAGCATTTCCTTCTTGATGATGTAAGTTCTTCCGACTCTTCTCTTATTCTTATTAAAACAGTTCTTTGGTTTCTGAGGAGGATGCTGATTTTGTCAGTCAGCTTAGGCTAAATTATACTGTGTGAGCAAAGATATCCCAACTCCCAAATCCTAATAGCTTGCCACATCAGAGCTTCTTTTCTTCTCTCTCTCTCTCTCTCTCTCTCTCTCTCTCTCTCTCTCTCTCTCTTTCTTTCTTTCTTTCTTTCTTTCTTTCTTTCTTGCTGCCAAGAGGAATGATCAGTTTATTATAAGGTAAGTGTATTACACTAACATCAAGTGGTTATTCTCCACTTTGTTTTTTATTTTTATTATATTTTCTTATCTCACATACCCAACCACAGTTCCTCCTCCCACCTCTCCTCCCGATACCCTCCCACCTTCCTCCCAACCCACCCTTCATCCACTCCTAAAGCATAAGGCCTCCCATGGAGAGTCAACAAAGCCCTGCACATTAAGTTGCTGCAAGACCAAGCCCCTCCCTTCTTCATCGAGGCAGAGCAAGGCATCCTAAAATAGGGAATGGACTCTAAAAAGCCACCTCATGCACCAGTGACAAATTCTGGTCCCACTTCCAGGGACCCCAAACAGATCAAGCCACACAACTGTTGCCCACATGCAGAGGGCCCAGCTTGATCCCATGCAGGTTCTACAACTGTCTGTCAGGAGTTCATGAGTTCTTAGGAGCTTGATTCAGCTGTCTCTGTAGATTTCCCCATCATGTTCTTGACCCCCACCAATTGCTCAAAATAATCTCTCCTCCCTCTATTCTACTGGACTCCCAGGGCTCACATTAGTGCTTGACTGTGAATCTCTGTATCTGCTTCTGTCAATCTGAAGTGACTTTACTGATCATTTTTAAAAGTAGATTTGATACTTTGACTCTGCCATTTGAACCATCTTGATGTTTGAATTTAACCACTTCAGAGTTATGAGCTTTTAGAGGACTCATGCTTCCTTGGTTTTTCATATTTCTCATGTTTCTAACTTGTGATTTGTATATTGTTGGGATGGGGATCAACTCTAGCTTTTATTTCGGGGTCATGTTTGTATATGGTCTTCTCTTGAGGACTTAATTCCTAGTATCACCCAGGTGAAAACAAACTTCCATAACAGCAATAATGCCAAAACATACTAAATATAAAAATACAATTGGAGTGAACTAAAGCCAACTACTATACTACTGATAATGGAAAATAACTGTTATCATAGAAGTAGGCTGTTTCTTATTTTTCTCTATATATCCTGTTTCTACATGGTTCTTGGCTGTTGTATCACCTCTTTGGGACTATGGTCTCATCACAAAAGAAAAATAACCAAGGATAGACAGACCACAAAGTTTAGATAGCCATTCTTGGCCTTCTGAAAGAAGGAGCTGACAAGCTGAAGAAAAGAGTCATTTATTTTCACTAAAGTATCTGCTTCCAGCTGATGCCACAGCAAGAAGACAAAGTTAGGCCAGCTTTGATCCTCTATGTAGCCAAGTATTCAGCAGAGTCATTGCCTTTGCTTCCACATGGCTGGACTGTCAGACAGCACTTCAGAGACTTCTGACAGAGAGCAACAAGTTCTTCATTTTTCTTACAATAATTTGCACATCTCCCATTTAGCTTGTTGCATTTTGCATCAAAGAATGCATTCTTGGCTACACAAAAGAAATTATTAGCTGTTATTGGTGTATGACATCAGCAACAGTCTCTTTGCAAACTGTGACTTAATTCCTTAGTCCTCCAGTAGATGAGTTACAAGCAGAAACATTTTCTATGTGATATCTCTGTCTTTTGTCACACAAGGTGAAAGAGCAGAAAGAACTAGCTAATACCCAGACAATTTTTATTAGGACTTTGCAAGACAGAAGCTGACATCCTTTCATACAAATCTACTGGAAAAAGGTATCAACTCAATGCACAAATACTTTCACAACCAGGAACTTCCCTAACATGCTTTCAAAGATTGCTACTCTGTAAGAGTTGAGAGCAAGACCTGAGCATGGGGAAATGGCTCCAGACATAAAAAAGTTGTGTGTGTGTGTGTGTGTGTGTGTGTGTGTGTGTGTGTGTGTTGTAGTAAATAGCCAGAAAATAAAGAGGCCTGTAGCATATCCAATTCACAATGATAGCCCAGGTAGATTGAAGTCAATGAACGTCTTTGTCCATGGGTTTCTAATGGGCCATCACAATACTCAAGTAGAGAAAGACACCTGATTTCTCTATCACATGCTACCAAGATGACACTGTAAAAGTCAGAGACTTTGGGGGAAAGAGGGGGAGGTAGTTGAGACAAGCTCCCTGTGACTACTACTCATTACTTTTCAGTCAATTTCAGTCTTTACATCAGGACATTGTCCATTGCATTCACAAGAGCAGACCACTGCATGTTAAGGACAGACAATCCATCTTTCCAGGATCAATATCTCTAGAGTTTCTGGCCTGAAGTATTTACAGTAGAGGTATCCAGTGTATAGACATTCCATTTGATATGAATGAATGAAACTGCTAATTCAAATTTATGAAAAACCCAGGGAATGACTGCTCTCAGACATACTAGACATTAACTGCTCTGAGAATATTGGTTCAGAAGTATAAGTGTCCTGTCATATTTCAAAGCCCCTTGAGCTCTGACTTCCACTGCAGTATTCAATACTTTCTCTGTTCTCCCAACATAGTAAAGCTAGGTCAGACTAGAGGCTCGGGACCTTACTCTTCCAAGAGTCTTTGTATCACATCTAATTCACAGTGATGAATCAGCAGCTTTGGGGGAAATAAAAGAATATCTTTACCTACAGCTTTCTAATGGGTTCAAATGGAGTTTCTGCATGTGTGGTGCATTTGGTATGCTAGATAATTTTATTCTGTATATTTCATTGTGTTAACTATGTAGTACATATGAGTGGTCTTAACAGCTCCTATCAGCCTCTAATGTTCACATCAGTGCCAGGAGAATGCATAGGCATACCATTCATTCACTAAAGGTCTAGATCGTTATATCCTGATGCAGAATCCACTCACATAGATTTATCATAACACAGACCGGGGGTACATACAAAATGATGAGCAACACACATGAGCTAGTCAAAGTTAGATTCACTTTGACTCCCAAAAGTCCCTTTACTTAGCTCCCTGGGACTAGGAAGCATCCCTGTGCCTTAATTTTGGAGCGTATACAGCTACATCTTTTCAAACTTGCCAGAAATATAAGAAGGCACAGAGAGATATCATGAAGGATATCCCACACAGCTCTTACTGTGCAACACAGAGTACTGATACTACCTTACCCATATGTCCCTGAAAAGAAAGAACCTTCACCCACTTGACTCTCTGTCTCCATGCACACACAATATATATGGTAAATATTTGAAACCAAAAAGAAAATACCTCTGAATATCATTAAATTAAAAGTAGAACAGAATTTTTCTTAAAGGCACTGGCTTTGGAGAACTAAATGCATTTTATTATTAGGAGTGTACAGCCCAACATCTATCTTTATATGTGCAGTTAACAAATAGCAGTCTCTAGTGTGTTCTTTTACCTGATGCCATGATGGACATAGATATGTCATTCTATTACTTTCTTCTTCCAAATCTTTCTTTTTATATGTCTTTATGCACTATTTTGTTCTATATTTATAACACATTTAAAAAACCTGTTTATTATTTTAATCCCCCCCATTTAATTTCTGTACTTTATTTTTAATAAGCATAAACCCAGGTATCAAAAAGCATCTTTTTTTCCTTACTTATTAAACCTATGGCAACTTTTCACAGATACTAATGGAAAATGCAATTTATGAATACATGATTATTGATGAAAATGTGATTCATTGTAGGCAAGTTACCTTCTGCAACAACTGTTCTCTTTCAAGGCCAACAGACCAAAGGGATCCTTACATCCTAGGATTGATCACACCTGGGCATTTGCAGGATAGACCTTTAGTCTGGGCCAGCATCTCAGATCACCCTCCAAATAAAGATGCTCATTTTCTTTACCTGGAGACAGAAAGAAGAGAACAGCAAAGAAAAAGAAGAATGTCTTCATGGCCTGGAGGGCTGTGAGAGGTCAGCACAATGTCCTTGGGAAAGGACAGCAACACCCACCTTTATACATTTCTCCAGACTGAAGAGGTACTTGATCAGTGAAGCTTGTCAGAATGAGTGAACCCACACCCTGCTACAGAGAGCCTACCTGCTGCAGTGGGTGTCCCTCAGCCTACAGTTTGTTGCTGTTTTTCTAGTTTGGAATATGCAGAGATGGATGAGTGGGTGCAGATGTTGTGGGAGAAGAGTCTGGAGTCCGGTCATGTGTATGGCTAATCCTGACTGTGTTCCTAAATGACTTCAGCTCTCAGGTGTAGTGGGAGTGTAAGTGTATGACAGTATTTCAGTTACGGATGGTGCACTGTGGTCAGGTGGACACTGAATTCCAGATACAATCTTTGCAATCTGTCCATACGGGGAAAACAGCTTGACCTAAACATGTATTCCATTATTTGTTTTAAAATTCTGGACTTTGCCATATGAGAGACAGGGTTTCTCTGCATAACAGTCCTGGCTGTCCTGGAACTTGCTTTGTAGATCAGACTGGCCTTGAACTCACTGAGATCTGCCTGCTACTGCCTCCCAAGTGCTGGGACTAAAGGAGTGTGTCACCACCACCCTGCTACACCATCTTATTTTATCTGAGGGGTTTTTGTTTCATTTGTTTTTGTTCTTTCTTTTTTAGAATTCACACAGTATTTTTGACCATATTCTTTCCTCTCCCATAACTCACCCCAGAGATCCTCCCCACTACCTACCTGACTTCATGTTGTCTGATTTGTGTTGGCCAACTACCCTAAGCATAAGGCATGTCCTGCAGTATAGTTGATGTACCCACTGTCACTCCGGTGATGAAAACTGGTTCTCCCTCCTCCAGGGTGCTATCGATTATAGATAAATAGTTCCTTTTCTAAGTCCAAGCTTTGAGCCCTTTTCCCCTTCAATGTGTTGGAGCTTTCTCTGGCTTAAACCAGTGCTGGTCTAATTCATACTTTCAGTCTCTGTGAGTTCATATAGGCCTTATATGTGTCTGAAGCAGTTCCCTCAAAGTTGTTTACTACTCCTAGAGCTGACGATCTTTCAGACTCCTCTCCTACATAGATTCCTGAGTCTTGTGTGGAGGAGTGTGATAAAAGTATCCCATTAAGGGATGAAAGCTCCAAAGTCTGTCACTGATTGCACATTGTCCAGTTATGGATGTCTGTGTTAATTACCGTATAATTCAAGAAGAAGCTTCTCTGGCAAGAGTTGAGTGATGCTCTGATCTATGAGTATAGAAGACGTCATTAGGCATCATATTACTATGCTCATTTAGCAGAGTAGTTGTTTAAAGTTATATAGAAATATGAACATAATAGTAATAATAGTAATAATCAATATTCTGCTAAACACTTCTATGCCGTGCATATGTTCTCAGATACCCCATGAGGCTTATATCGCAATTCTAACCCAATTTTAAGGATAAGGAAGCTGAGGTTTGAAAAATTATCAACCTATCCAAGGTGGTCTACTTGGTAGGTATCTTTCTAACCATATAGTCTACAGTGTGTGTGTGTGTGTGTGTGTGTGTGTGTGTGTGTGTGTGTGTGTGTAAAGGGAGAGGGAGAGAGAGTGAAGGGAGAGGGAAAGAGAGTGAGGTCCTGAGAATTCAATGTAAGGCTTTGAATTAGGCAAAGAACTAGGCAAAGACTGTACTACAGCCCTGTTTTTACTTTTTTAGATAAAATCTCGCCAAAGTTACACAGGCTGGCTTTGAACTCACTGAGCTCACTGAATAGCCCTGGCAGGATGTTAGCTCATGATGCTCCTGCCTCAGTCTCTGGAGTATCTGGTTTACAAACCCGTGACTCCAGGCCTACCTCAGCTTCCAAGACTGAAGACCAGCACATCATGTAGCTACAAGCATCAAGATGGCAGTAAGCAGGACACATTTTGGGGGGCTGACACGAGTGACTTGAATATCCCTTTGTACCATTGTTTTTAATTACTAAAGGTTGCTGTGGTTATTAATGGTCTATGATGTGATGTCTGACAGGCAGGGGATTCAAAGCTAACTTAGCAAAAGGGCTGTTACTCCTCACATTCTCCTGAAACATTTACAAATACAGCAACAAGAAGGAGGAGGGTAAGTGTGCAATCTGTGAATTGCCTTCCAGTCCCCACCAGGGCTCTGTAAGCAGCATGAGTACTCAAATTACTTCTGTGTTGGGATCATACCAGATGCCCAGGACATGCTGCAAAGGCAATAATGAGCCTCTGTCCTTAGGAAGATATAGGGAACTATGGATATCCTCTCCCTAAATTCCCTGTGGTAGAAGTGTGCATAGCCCTGCGTTCTACCAGCCTTGAACAAAAGTCCACTGCATTCACAAGCTGGTCAGGTATTGGGAAATAAGACTTTGCAGGCTCCAAGGTCTTAACCCACTGCTCTAGCTCTTGATGCCAACAAATGGAGCATGTAATTGTACTTTCTTTATCGATTCACTTCACTAACCAAGAACACAGCCATTACTTTCAAATATAAATGCTTTCTTGTCCCCTCAGAGAAATCCTGATCCTGTGTTCTGAAGCATCTTCCCTCAAACATGGCCCTGAGTAGAGAGATGTTTTATTTTGGGTTTGCTTTGTTCTTCATTGCAGTCCAGTTGCCATCAGGTAAATAAAAGCTGATGGGATTTTGATGGGGTGATGGGGGGCAGATTATGAAACCCAATGGCTCTTCCATGTTATCATCCTAAAACTGAGAGTAAATCTCTCCCCCAAAGACTTCTTGGAACTGTACTAATGTATCCCAAGAGCCACTGAATAGAGCTTTAATTTTTATTTTACATTTGTTTTGGACTGCCTCAGGTGTGCTGGTCTTGAGAATCAAATTAAGATGGCAGCCATAGCATAGGTAGTCCCTCATGAGCCATCCCACGTGTGGGAGAAGTTTTATATAGTGTCATTTCTTGCTTTAATATTCTTTCCTAAAATGTATTTTGCTTTAAATTTAGGGTCCTGGGCAGGACTTGAGTATTCCCAGTCATTTCCAGGAGGTAAATTATATCCCTTACCTGTACTTTCTCCTTTTCTCTTATGGGAGCAGACCTAGTTAGCTTTCCTTGACTGATGAGGCCAAGGAGGAGAGTAGTTGTGAAAGGACTCAGTTCTGGTTTATTGACTTTATTCTCTCTTCTCTTGTGCCCATAATCATATTTGGATTTTTCCATTGACTTTCTCATTAATTTATGGTGCTTAGGTTCAACCTCATCCCCAACAATTATCACTACCCAGAGATCACAGCTTCCCTTATCTTACAACCTAAACTGAACGAGGTCTGCACAGATGCATACTGCTGGACTCAGGAGAATCACATAGAATGGTGAAGATGGTTTAGGGATATGTCACCTTTGTTATAGAAAAAGCGTTTATAATGGTTAGCCACAAGCTTTGGGTGTGCACAGGAGGTTCTCTTACATGGGAAGACAACACAAAGTAAACACAAAATAAATATTAAAATATTCTTCAAAGGCTGGAGAAATGGTTCACTGTGCAACCATAAGGACTCAAATTTGGATTCTAGCACCAACACAGTCTTGAGCCTGCAACCCCAGAAAAGTGGGGACAGAGTGAGGAGGTTCAGTGAAACTTTTATATCTGCCAGCCCAGCTAGAAAATGAGATAAGAGTCAAAGAGAGACCCTGCTTGAAAGGACTATATTTGAGAGTTATAGAAGGGTGGGGACACTCAATGCTTTCTTCTTGCTTCTATGTATGCACACACATGGGTGCATGTACCTGCACATAAATGCTCACACAACAAACACTTGACCAATTGAGCCATCCCCAAAGCCTCTGAGCTATTTCTAGAAAACACTCACCATAATCATACATGCAAACCCTGCGTGTTTAGATGGCCTTACAAATTCTTCCCATCCCCAAAAGTTCCAGCGAACATCTCATCAACTCTTTTCTGGCACAGGTGAATTTTCTGTGTGTGAGACGTGCAGGCTCGGTCGGGGAAAATGCAGAAAGGTGTGCTTGGAGAGCGAGAGGATTGCAGGAAAGTGCAAGCTGAACTTCTTCTGCTGTCGGGAGAGGATCTGAGCACACCAGCCAATGCTCTTTGGGCCTTAGACCCGTACTGAGTGGATGTCTGAGGGGAGAAGTTCTGTAGCTTAACTGGACCACACTGAGTTCAAGTCATTCTCCCTCTCACCTCACTTTTCTTTCTGTGCTTCATTTTAATTTTAAGATGATAAAAAGTCAAAACAGCAATGAATGCCTTCTCAATCAGTCACTACTTTACATTTCCAGAATACTTATTAGTTATAAATCTGCTCTCCAGAATTTTCTCATATGGCTCAGGATCACCTCAGACATCGACTTTATCATTCTTATTTGTGTTTGAAGAAATTGAGATGCAGGAAGGCTGTTGCCGAAGGGAAGCTAGAGCTGAGAGACAAGGGATAGTGTGTACATCACCACCTCATCCTGCATATCTTCTAACATACTAATTATTAACAGGCAAATTAACGTGTCATATTCCTCTGTGTTAACAGTATTAGAGTCCTATAGAATATTCTTGATGAGGAAATGTATTATTATCCACTGATACAACAATTACATTGTTACAATGATTATAACAATTATGATATATTTTTAAAAAACAACTCCCGTCTACTCTGTGAATGCCTATAGTACTGAACTTGAATTGTTCTTTTTGCCTACAAAAGAAAATGTTTAGAGGTTAATTAAAATATTCATTTGCATAGGCTGTATGCAGATGATAAACTGTAACCTTTGCCTTGTGAAATACAATTTGTACAGCTGTGGGGCTTATACTTGATCAGTTTTATGGGGGATATGTGAACCTGGGTAGTGTTCTGCTCAGCATATCTTGTACTTAGGCTATTCTCTTGTTCATTCTCTCTTGACTCTGAAACTCAGCACTAGTCTCTACAAACTCCATCCACCAGGGTTTCTGACACTGGGCTGGTGTCGGTCAATACTATCTGCT